GCATGATATTATAAGATACATACATATGGTAAAATGGTTACAATAGTGAAACAAATTAACGTATTCAGCATCTCACATAGTTATTCATTTCCCCCTGTGTCAAGAGCAGCTATGATCTACTCATTTAGTAAAAATGTTAAATACAATATACTTTATTAGCTATAGTCTCATGCTGTACATTAGATTTTTATTTTAATTTATTTTCCCAAGCATCCTGACTCTTCAGCTGGGAGATGATAGGAGGCAGGAGCTGGTGGTGGCATTGGGCATCTCAACCAAGAGGAGGTTAGAGATATTGCAGTGATGGAGGAGGTCAATGAGTGAAGTATGGCATGGGGACTGGAAAAATATCCACCTAGTCATTGGGAACTCACCATGGGGCTTTGAACGTAAATGGTTTGCAACATTTTTGTTGAGTAAGTGAATTGAGTGGACTGATACATCCTATGCTGGGACATTTATCTACAGGAACTTATGGAGTCAGAAGTTGGGACCAACAGGACAGCTGTTGCTGAGTTCATTCTACTGGGCCTAGTACAAACAGAAGAGATGCAGTCTGTGGTCTTCATACTCTTCCTCTTTGCCTACCTGGTCACAGTCGGGGGTAACCTCAGCATCCTAGCAGCCATTTTGGTGGAGCCAAAACTCCACACTCCCATGTACTTCTTCCTGGGAAACCTATCGATACTGGATGTTGGGTGTATCAGTGTCACTATTCCAGCTATGTTGGGTCGTCTTCTGACCCACAAACACACAATTTCCTACAATGCCTGCCTTACACAGCTATTCTTTTTCCACCTTCTGGCTGGGGTAGACTGCTTCCTGCTAACTGCCATGGCCTATGATCGATTTCTGGCCATCTGTCGGCCCCTCACCTACAACACCCACATGAGCCAGATGGTCCAGAGGATATTGGTGACTGTGTCCTGGGCTTGTGCCTTCACCAATGCACTGACCCACACTATTACCTTAACTACCCTCAACTTCTGTGGCCCCAACGAGGTCAACCACTTCTACTGTGACCTCCCTCAGCTCTTCCAGCTCTCCTGCTCCAGCATCCAACTCAGTGAGTGGCTGCTCTTTGGCCTAGGTATCCTCATGGCAGGTACACCTATGGTTCTCATTATCACCTCCTACATCCATGTGTCAGCTGCAGTTCTACGAATGCATTCAGTGGGGGGCAGAAAAAAGACCTTCTCCACATGCGGCTCCCATCTCACTGTGGTTTGCCTCTTCTATGGGACAGGTATCTTCAACTACATGCGTCTAGGTTCAGAAGAGGCTTCAGACAAGGATAAAGGGGTTGGAGTTTTCAACACGGTCATCAACCCCATGCTAAACCCACTTATCTACAGCCTCAGAAACCCTGATGTTCAGGGCGCTCTGTGGAGGCTATTAATAGGAAGGCGGTCACTGACCTGAAAGGTGATAAGCTCCCTCTTTTCCTGTCTTTTCTGGGCTGAGGAAAACGTCCCATGAAAGCAGTCACCAGTAAAAATAACCATTTTCTCTATCTCCTGATGCCTAAAGATTGGTGTTATATATTTGTCCTACAAGGAAGCCCTATATAATTCATTCATTTATTCATTCAACAAATGTTTATTGAATTACTTCTATGAACCAAATGATCTTCTAGGGCATTGGTGAGCAAAATAGACAAAAGTCTCTGCACTCATGCAACTCACGTGCTATATAAGTAGACAAAACAAACAAGCATCACATATAGTGTGTCACATGGTGATAAGTGCTGTAGTTAAAAAAAAAAAGATGGAACTATGAAGTTAGGTTCTGCCAAGTAAGCATCCTGGGTAACTGGCTACCTTGATTTTGGCTGTGCCCACTTTCTGGATAGAGTTGAAGCCTTGTGGCTCTTTATGGTAAGTAATATGCTATGGGGAATGTTTATTTGATTAATCACAGCCTAAGTAACAAAGAGTATCACGGCAAAGTGGTAGAGATGTGAGATTCCTTTCATATGGCTGTATGATAATTTTTTAAAAAACCACAGCCCCAGTGCCAAGGATTATTTCTTTCAACTGTTTGTCTTTCAAGAAAATCAGTTTCTTCTTTCCAATATGACACAAGAATCCCATAGGACATTTAGGGTGCAAGTAGGATTTAGCAAAAGAAAGAGCTCACTAAAGAAAAATTACATTAATGCATACATGATATCTTAAGGTCAAAAAAAAAGGAATGTTCCATTTGCATTCCCTGCCATATATTTCTCTCTTATTTTTTGTTGTTTTCCTTACATATATGATAAAGCCTCTGAAAGAGTGAGCATTTCTACTACAACTGGGTCCTTAAATTTTTCAATGCAGAATACCCAACATACCCTTCCCCTCCAAAGTCTTTTCTTTCTCAAAGAAACAAATATCCACAAATTCTCCTCTCCCCGCCTTTCTGCTGAGCTAGCTGATTATTTAAAGTATACAAAGGTGGCACATACATTTATTAAAACTTGTCTTTAAATATGTTTTGATATCTCTACTGGAATTGTGATTCTCTTCTGCTTCCTAAATGTGTTTACCAAGTATACACCACACCTGTCGTCTCCTTATTGGTCCTCTCCTTTACTAACCTATTTCTAACTATTCAATGTTTGGGGGTGCTTCTTTCTAATTTTATTTCATCAGTACAAGAGGACAGCTCTAACCCAGGGCATTTCCTAATTTTGATATTAATCTGGTGTTCAGCTCATCCATGCTTGATTCTCTCCAGTCTCCCTGGAAACTACTAACTCTGTCCTAACAATTCTACTGTTCCTTTGCTGTAGCATTCCTAAAACTGTCCCATGGTTGCACTTAGAGCTTGAGTTCTTTGTGATTCCTTTCATCTTGGAGTAAAGGGACCGGGAGGATGAGTTGATAGGATGTGTATGAGAGTAGAGGGTAGGGCACGGTTGGAGTGGAGCAATGAAGACAAAATGTGAAGACATGAGGGGGATGGGACAAGGTGTAAACAAAAAGAGTAAGAAGGAAGGATGGAAGTGAGAAAAAGGATACGATGAGTAAATATGAAGAGAGAAGATATGTGTGTCTTTCCTGATACTCTTGGTTGTCAAGACACTTTAGGGTTAAGGAGCAAAGGGCAAAATTCTTGTGCACAAAAAACAGAGAAATTGGTTGTAATAGCAGCACTCCCATCATCTATTGCTCTATGATCTTAGAAAGTTCTTTAGTATGGTTGGGCTTGTGTCCATCTATACCATAAGACTGTGACAAGATCGTCTCTCCAGAGTTCTTCATTTAATTACCTCTGATCATAATAGTCTGAATGACTATTTTCTGGGTCTGAACACATCAGAAAACATTTTGAGAGCATTATCACCATCATTTTCACCACTCTGTCTACCCTAAGAGCATTTAACACTGCCTCAATGAATCTTACCTATGACCTCCGAAGATCCCGGGCCTTGGCATTGCTTCCTTTGAATATTTATCCTTTTATTGTATTCTACCAAGGAATTTCTTTAATAAGTGGGGAAGTTGTATTCCTTTGGAATGTCTCTCTTTGTGCCCTCAAATATAAATATATTTATTTAAAAAAATTATTCAGAAAGGTTATACCTGACAGTGGAAACATTTGGACAATATTATTTTGTCAAGTCAAAAATGAAAATTCAGGTGTCTCTTCAATGCACCCAAAACTCCATTATTCAGAGTTATCATCTCTTAAGAATTTTGTATGTATTCTTCCAGAGACTTTATGCATATGTGATATGCGCATTTTACATCAGTAGAACTATACTGTTTTGTGATCTGCTTTTTATTTTTCTTATACATTATGCAACATAATATTTCACATGACAAAGGCTAAGATTCTGCTTTATCTGTGTTAATGGTGGCATAGTCTATCATTAAATGTATAAATCACACATTATTTAATCAAACTTCCACTGCTTAATTTGGGTTGTTTTCAGTTGTTTTTGCAAAAACAACAGGATTGTGTTTAATATAGAGCTGTTTTTCCAAATTTTTAGAATTATTTCCCCAGGATTGATTACTATGAATAACTTTACCAGATTAAAGGAGATGCAAATATAAATTTTTGAAATATGCATGCACAAAAAAATGCACACACATTCATCTCAATTTCCAAAATTTTTGCACCAATTTATAGATTCACTAAATTATGATAGTATTTACCCACATCTCTGCCATTAAAGGCTGTTGTAAATGAACATTTTTATCTTTACAATGTTGAGGCTGAGAAATTGTAGCACTTTTATTGAATTTTCATGCTTTATTGATGTATATATGATAAATAAAAAATTGTATTATGATTTTGTTGTTTTCTGGTTCTTTTTTCCCATTTTTATTTTCGTTTGAGTGCATACATATGCATGTTCATTACATGGACATACTGTGTAGTGGTGGGGATTGGGCTTCAGGTGGCCCATTCCCCAGATAGTAAATGTACCCAATAGGTAATTTCTGAATGCTAACTCTTCTCTCCAGCTACCCCCTCTTATTGATGTCCCCAGTGTCTATTTCCATCTTTGTGACCGTTTAACTCCTGCATATGAGTGAGAACATGAGGTGTTTGGTTTTCTGTTTCTGAGTCAGTTCAGTTAGGATGATGACTTCCAGCTCCATCCATGTTGCTGTAGAGGACATGATTTCATTCTTTTTTATGGTTGAGTAGTATTCCAACATATATATATATATATATGTTTTCTCTCTCCAGTCAATTGTCACACTTAAGTTGGTTCCATGATTTTACTATTATGAATAGTGCTGCAATGAACATACAAGTACAGGTATCTTTGTATATATTGATTGCTTTTCCTTAGGGTAGATCCCTAATATTGGGATTGCTGAGTCAAATGGTAGTTCAATTTTTGGTTCTTTGAGAATTCTCCATACTGTTTTCCATAGCATTTGAACTAGTTTATAATCCCACCAACAGTGAATGAGCATTCCCTTTTCTCTGCAACTATGATAATATCATGCTTTGATAAATGTATAAAAGCATTCCCTTTTCTCTGCAACTATGCTAATATCATGCTTGATAAATGTGGTAATCATCAAAAGATTACCACAATCAAGCTAATTAACACATTCATCACCTCACATAGTTATCTTATTTTGTGGTGAGTACATTTAAGGTCTACTGTCAACAATTTTCAGATACACGATACATTATCATTAATTATAGCCACCGTGCTGTATAGCAGAACTTCAGAATTTATTCCCTCTGTTTAATTGAAACTCTGGGCCCTCTGACCAACATCCAAGATACTATTCTTATTCTTTTTCCTCTTCTAGCTTATTTCAAGAATTTATCTTCATCTTTCATTTTCTGAAAAAATACAATATTTATACAGATTATTTGATATATATCCTGTTTGATGTTCTCTGAGTTTCCTAGATTTGTGGTTTGATGTCTGTCATTAACTCTGGAAAATTCTTAGCCATTATTATTTCAAATACTTCTGTCCTTTTCTCTCTCTTCTTCTTCTTCTTCTAGTATTACCATTATGTATATGTATGCGTATACGCGTACGTATATGTTTTTCAGCCTGGAAAGTTTCTACTGACAAATCTTTATAGACTTTTTATTCAGCCATTCCCAGTCTACCGATGAGGCCATTGGAGGCTGGAAAGTCCATGATCAAGTTGCCAGTAGATTTGGTATCTGGTGAGAGCCTAGTACCTAGTCCATAATGGCCATCTTCTCGTTGCATCCTTACATGGCAAGGAACAAAGGAACCCTCTAAGTTCCCTTTTATAAGGGCACTAATCCATTCATGAGGGCTCTAACTTCATGACCCAATCAATTCCCAAAGTCTCCACCTCCAAATACCATTACATTGGAGACTAGGTTTCAACAACATGAATTTGGGGACTGGGGGCAGCACATACATTCAGCCTATAAACCTGTCAAAGGCAATCTTCATTTCTGTTATAGTGTTTTTTATTTTTAGGGTTTTTTTTCTTATACTTTCCATCCCTCTTCTTACATGACCAATCTTCCATGTTGTCCACTTTCCCATTATAGTGCTTAACATATTAATCATAATTATTAAACTTCCAATCTGATAATTCCAAAATCTTTGTAATATCTGAGTCTGGTTCTGGTGCCTGCTTTGCCTTATCATTGAGTATTTTGTCTTTTAGCATATCTCCTAATTTTTTGTTGAAAACTAGAATGATGTATTAGGTAAAAGCAACTGTGGCAAATAAGTTTTTAACATAAAGTTTTCTGTTTATGTGGCTGGGAGTTAGATTGTCTTTACTGTTGGTTGTAGCTATAGGTATCAGAGGCTAAAATTTCCTCTGGTATCCTTATTTATATTTCCCTATTGTCTTTGGGTTTCCCTAGACATTTCTTCTTAAATAGCAGTTGAGCCTTGCAGTTCTTTTTATTGTAATCCTTTCATTGTATAGGAGCCCTACTGATGTGGCAGTAAGATACTGGGGCAGGGAAATTATTCTATAATACAATGATTAGCTCTCAGTCTCACTCAGGTCTCACAGTGAATCTGTGC